TCTCTTTTTAACTCAGTTTGTTTATTTAATATTTATAAATGCAACCTTTCTACATTTCTACATATAAAACACACTTTTTCATGTTTTTTTATTTAGTTGGAAAAATTTAGTTAAGTTAAAAGTAACATTTTTATCTTTTTACAAGCATGATGAAGATATGTAAATAAACATAATCTTGAAATTCTGCTGCTGATATTCTCTTTTTAACTCAGTTTGTTTATTTAATATTTAAAAAGCTCCTATTACTGTTATAATTCACTATCTTTAATAATTAGCTAAATGAAAATATGAAATCTTTTCTGTTTTAGCTGAATTATATTTTGTAAATAGACTTTAATTTTAAGTAAAGTGATATCACACCAGTCAGACACAACATTAGTCCTCTGAATTTAGCCCATCGAATACGATCCACACATGTGGGCGTGGCAGGGATCAAAACCATGACGTTTTGGTCCTAAGCCAGCTATCCACTGTTCCACAGTCGCCAACTTTGACCTAAAAAATCGAACTGAGTTTCATTTTTGTTAAATTTTCTTTAAAAGCAACAATTCCCAACATAAGTTGTACAGAAAAAAAGGTTCAAAGTCCAGTATATTTCAACATTAATTTTCATTCATAGAAGTACATTTTAAATAAGTTAAAATCAAAATAATTGTAAAACACAGCACGTCACCCCATCTTTTTCCACTGGAATGTTTTACATCAACTAAGACCATAGTTAAATAAAGCATAAAAGTGTTGCACACTCATTTAATCACTTCCTGGTGTTTTTTTAAACCCTTTAAAACTCTGGTGATTCATCATTCATGTGCTCTCTGCATGATTTCAGGTGATGTCACATGTGGCCACTCTTCTCTACTTCCTCCACGCCATTTTCTCTGCCATCCGATGGAAAAGGGCCTAAACAGACCAGTGACCCAGCGACACTTGAAGCACGAGGAGAATGAAAGATAAATCACCAGAAAACTTCTTATCTTAGTGAATACATGCTGAAAAATGTTGTGAAAGTGGAGAACAAATGGAAAACCCACAGGTCATCTGAAGCGGATCATGATGTCACTGTTTGTTGTTTCCTTGTTGTAACTAACAACAATAATTAGACAAAGTCAGGTGAACTTGTCAAAGTCGAAACTCAGAAACTGAATAATAAAAACTAAAACAACTCAACAAAAACAAAAAGAATAAAACTTTTTATACTACAGTGACTTATCTATTTACATTACTTAGTCAATTACAGAAAGACTAACTATCAAATTTCTGTCAATTTGCGATATTAGGGATAACAATTATTTTCTGTCGAGTTTCTTTTCCTTTTTTAAACAAACAAATCACAAATGATTATGTTTATATTCAGTTTGAACACAAATGTCTTATACTGTATATTTTCCCTTTGCTATTTTTAAGTATATGTTTTAAATAATATAAAAAATACCTTTAAATATTTTATTATAAATAATTCAATGATTTCACAGTTTAGGTTTGAATTCTTTGACACAAAATAAATTGAGTGAATATGCAAAAGTTTTTTTTTTCAATTAAGAATCCTGACTTCCACCAGTTTTTGTAACATAATTTTTGAACCATGCATTTAAAAGAACCGGTCTTCGATTTAATAATGATGTGAGTTAAATTAGTTGGTACTCTTCCACAATAATCAAAGGTTGCAACTGGCTAAAATGTTCCTGTTTTGTCTCATTAAATTTCTGTCTTACAGTTTATTTTATTTACTTTTTTTTGGACTTTCTTAGGTTTTCATCCACGGATTTCATCCATGATTCAAAATGCAATATTATGTACATGGTGCGACCAGATTGTGAATCACTTTGACCTTGAAGTTAGTTCAACTTAATGATTTTGGATTGTTTCTTTGGTTCTTTTTTTTTTTACCATCCAAACAAACCACCTGATCAACCTGAGGTCACATCTCTTCTTGTCTCCACATCCTGGGAGGTTGACTACAGTCCCTTGAACCTTATACTTTTAATGAGATCGGATAATTTGGTGAGAGGATTGGACCATGAAGCTGATAAAGATAGTCTTTATCTTCTTTCCGAGGGGTGAACACAGCCATGCCAAACAACCATGTGGCTGACGCCAACAGTCTAGATGGACAAGTCTTGAACAGAACAGAATAGAATAGTATAGAAACAGTCTTTATTGTCCCACACGGGGAAATTCAGGTGTAATAGCAGCAGCAGATACACACATCAATCCACAAGTCTTCTGTTGTTCACATCTTTATTTAATTTGTAAATAAAAAAAGTTTCTGTGCCACTATAGAGCCATAAACCCCTCTATTAAACTGGAATGGACCACTCTGGAAGCTGGAGGGGGGCGAGGTATGAAGCTCCTCATTTGGATTAAAAGAGACATCAAAACGAGTTGATCTGACACACCTCAGAAAAGGGGTGAAAGAGGGGCTTGTGGAGTTACAATGAGGAGGAATTCAGACCAAAGCATTGCAGTTCCACTTTATATAGATGCCAACTGAATAAATGTAATAAAGAATTATTTATAAGCATGAAACATCTCCTTTAAGGGTACCAACTGATCTTTCTGTACTATTTCGGCACATCTTTATAAAAGAAACAAATTATTACTTCTCATATGATTTCATTGTATACTCACAAATGAATAAAGCACTAAATCAATTAACTTTCTTCTTCCTTTTTTATTTAATTACATTGTTTTTACTTTTGCAGCCCGTTGCTAGTTGAACAACATGAATCCTGCTACTTTTACTGTAAATAAATCTTTTGTGAAGTTGAAGCTGAATGTTCATACTCACACAGGCATCTTCATTTTGAAAAAATATGGCTGTGTGCAGTACAGAGAGTCCACAGTCAAAGGACAGGTCACATTATTACTTGAAAACTCACAGAGCAGTTTTTTTTACCCCTCTGGAATGATATCCGTATTTCAGAGAATTTGTGTAGCCTGAGGCCACACAAGTCTCCCTCTAGTCACTTAGGTCTGTCACACATCACCAGCTTACTTCAAACACTCTTGGGTGTTGCAAGGAGGGTGTGTCTGCTTTGTACCGGAGCAAGGAGTTGTTGCGGGATGGGATCTCATACACACACACACACACACACAAACACACACAACATAGCAGAACGGGTTTGTCTGCAAACCTGGCTTTCCCTATAAGGGTCAGTTACACCTGCAGCTGCTCCATTAGTCCAGAAGAGACGGACAGGGCCGGCCGCTTGCTTGCTGTCGGTTCAGAAGGAGAAGGCAGAAATGGCCGCTACTACTGCTCAGCCCTTGGGGACCCTGCCCAGTGGAGTGGAGATCTGCACCACAGCCCCAGATATATTTTACCTGCCTGAACTGGTGAGTGTGGAAAATGACCCCGCTGAAGGGATTCTGTGTTTTTAGACGAGATGTCAAAATGACTTAATATTTTGAATCAAGAACTGATCAAACTGACTAGATTTGGTCAATTTACACCAAAGGGTGAATGATCAAAAGTGAAACAAATGATCCAATATCATCAATAATTTAGAGTAACTTTATAAGACAAAAGCAACTGTCTACATCATCTGTCTCTGTCCGCAACCCTTAACGTACAGTTTAAATACAAAATATCCTAAATGTATGAGCTTTTTACATAAAAATGGAATGTTACATTGCTAAACAAACACACAAATAAAAAAAATTGCTGCCTTTTTTCATTTAATTTTTTTGTACTTGTGATACAATAGTCAAAGGTCATTTTGACTAAAACTGTCATACACTTTGATTAAAAAAGACAATGAAGCATTTTCCTTATCATGGAGGTGTAACCACATCTCTTTACCTCTCATATTTCATATTGTGTCTCTGTTCCTAATCTAAGAAGGAATGTGGCCAATGCTTCTATCCATTCTTCTTCATGAAGGATTGCAAAAACAAAAACTGCTCACGTAACCAACATGTTCCTTTACATTTTGAACATTGTATCTGAGTTTACAGTCCCTGTTAGGTTTTATTTTGCTTTCATTAGATTGAAAAACGTTTTTACAGGTTAATCCCACAAATTTATGTCTCTTTATTCCCTAAACTCAGATTAAAATAGGGTTTACGGTGTTTTAGAGAAAACTGATGCTCTCCAATGATAGTCTTCTCACTGTTTTTGAAAGGTGTAGACACCAGGAACAAATATAGAAAAAAATCATAAAATACAAACGAAATGAAAAAATAATATCCGACAAAAAAGTAGTAAAGGTGGATCCTTTAAAAACAAAATTGCAAAACTTGATTGATTCAGCAATTGTGAAAAACAAATGAGATCATATCAGTAATACAAATTGTTACCAGATCTGCTGATAAGAGAAATAAAAGAAAGAAACAACAATGATTGACAGGGACTAGGGTGTGGCGATGATTGATTACAAAATATTTATCCTACAAACCTGAGTTTGAATCCCTTCAACATGTTGCTCTTTTCATTACAATTGTTTTATGAGATATTATTTCTTCATGTTTAGGCAGTAAATATTTTGGTTTTTGAATTGTCTTCAGGGTGAAAAAAAATCTTGTCCCTTTACGAGCCTGTTGTTGGGTAAATATCTTCCGTTCTGTAGGGCAACAAGGTGAAAAAGGTATGATTGTATTTATAGTGTGGTGGAGAAAGAGAACAGTCTCAGCCATTGTGTAGAACAGTGGCTCATTGTCATGTAAAAAGTCGTAATAAGCAGTATCTTTGAGTCTTCAGCAGACTCTCATGCTTCTTGGCCTGCTAGATGTACACAGCCCTGGGATCATAAATTACAGCAAAAAATTAGATTAAGATGCATGTTATAAAGTTTACATATGTCACTKATATTTGGCTGTATATGATAATTATGTTGCCTTGTGTTTAATTTTTGTTCCTCAATGCCACCAGCCACTCCTCCCAGTACTTTTCCACTGCTGGTCTCTGCTCCTCAGATCTGCCACACCCATCTTACTCCTTGGTTTAGTCCCAGCATTCTTATTCCCTCTGTTTCTCACTACTCTGCAGTTGAGCATTATGTGTCTTGCATGCCATGTCTGGTCCATATCTGCTGCAGCCTTTATGGCTCCTCGTGTCTCCCTTTCCTCCCTGGGATTATTCCTGACGGTTTGCAAGCAGTTTTGCWGCCACAACAGCACTTTGTTTCATCTAACGTSTCTGTGTCCGGTCTGTACATTTGSGTCAAAAACCTCCTGCTTCCCTGAAACTCACCATCCAACGTAYACGCTTGTTGAAAACTATCCTTCTGTGTGACAGTTTGGCTGTGAGAAWTGGAGCAGTCATTCTCCAACAAAATGAACATTGATGGGTTTTTAGTGTATGAACATCTGTAAGTGCAGAAAAACGGAGCTGAATACTAACATGGACATGTGTAAGGATGAATGAGTAAAATCACGTGGTGTGTTCAAAAGGCTAAAAGATGCCAAGCAATAACCTGTAAGTAAGGAATAAAAGAAAAAATATATATTAAAGTTGCTATCAAAGTTAATAGCTACTAATCACAAGTGCACTAAGGCTTTGGTATAATCGTTAAAGACATCTGAATGACATTTGTATTGTTTTGCCTTTTATATTCCCAATAATGAAATAAAACAAWGGAAACTTGTCTCATCCGTTTGCTTGATTTGTGAAATATCAGATCAAACTTTCATTTAGTTTGAATAATCTTCAGTGCGCTTTGGAATTATAGATTATAAATGAAAAATGCAGCAATGGTTATATTTATCAAAGTCTTAATGCTGTCAAAAAGAGAAAACTGGTATCCTGTCTGTAGAAAATATTTGACATTTTGTAGTACAGCTACACAGAACAGATCCACATGAATATGTTGCAGTGTAGCTCCAGTGGCGCAATCGGTCAGCGCGCGGTACTTATAAGACAGTATTCTGTGGAGCCATGCCGAGGTTGTGAGTTCAAGCCTCACCTGGAGCAATGGGATGTTTTTAAGAAATGACTTTCTTGAATTGCGGCATACTACAATAAAAATAAATCTAAGTGAATGTCAGAAGGGATGCTTCAGTCCTGATGACATGGTCACAGATTTATTCTGATCATCAGATTATAGAAAAAAAGAGTTCCACTGATGTTAATAGAGTGAAAAAGGAAAAAAATTGTATAGGTCTTCTGGACGGGTTCTTCTCTAATGAAACGTTTCGTCTCTCCTCCAAGAGAC